CATTGCCACCCAGAGGCCCTCTGGACAGTGAATCCAAAGCTGTGGCTGATGGTGTTTTATCTGTATCAGGGTAGATCAATTTGTTTGCAGCATCAGGCCTCATGCTCCAGAGTGGACTCACCCTCTGACCTGGAGCTAGGATTTTGGCAGAAGCTGCTCTATGCTGCCCTTCATACAAAGACAGCAGGCAGGGGCAGGAAAGGCTGTTTAATAAGTTTTCAGCCCTTTTGACTGAAATAAACTGTTTTCTGTGTGCAGGTGACAGTGTTGGTGGAGTTCCTCATAAACAATTGCTCAGAAATATTTGGGGAGGACATTGCCTTCCCTGCCTGTGCCTTGGCTGAGGAGTCACCAGAGCACACAGACAGCTCCACAGGTATGAGAACAGACCGGGGATGTCACAGACTGCAGCTGCTGGGCTAGGTTCTTTGATATGGGAACACGTCTGTGGAAACACAGAGTCCTAAAGGGCTCAAGACACTGTTGCAGTGCTCTTCTACAGGAACTTCTCTTTCCATATAGTTCACTTTTATCCTCAGATGGTCAGTGAAAACTAACAGGTGGTTTCTCCCCACAGAACACCTATGTGCTGCTCATCAGAATGACTCTGCCTATGACAGCCCAGATCCTGAAGCTGAAGTCAGCCTCCGTACCTCTCCGATGGTGCAGCCCAAAGGGAGGAGCACTAGTGTGAGCACAAGATATCCAACACACATCTCTACCCCTTCACTGACTAATTTCAGGAATGACATCAGCACAATGGACAGGAGGTACTCAGAGCCAGACCTGTCCTTCCAGAACTGCCTTGAAGGCAGGATAAGGAAACAGAAGCTAAACAGAAGTGAGGACAATTTTCCGGTTTAAACAGCTAGGGTTGGAGGCACTGGAGAAACGGCTTGCAATCTTGCCTTCACAATTATCAACTGACTCTCTACCCAAAACATCCTCCAGTTGCTCCCTGGAGAGCTCTGACAGCTCGGTCTTCACCAGCTCCCCAGTAGTTTCGCCCTCTAGTCCCAAAAAAACCTTTTTAAATAGGCCCCAGTCCTTTTCCACCAAGGCCACTGAAGACTGCAGTATGCCTAGCAGAGAGATCAAAAAGCATTCCATGTCGTTCTCTTTTGCAAACCGCAGGAAAACACTAATAAAAACCCAGAGTTGGGGACCTGGAAAATACACGGGTTTTCAGAAAGACTGTTTCACAAAGAAAGAAGATCAGTTCTCCTGCAGAGTTGTCCAAGAGAACAGCCCTGATGATGACAAACCATTGCCTGTGGCCTATCGGCAAAGGCCCCGTTTCAGGTCAGCTGATGAAGTGTTCAGAGAGGTAGACCAGAGGCATCCTGGAAGACCACCCTCTTACGAAGAGGCTACTAAAAACTGCCTAGCCACAGTTCAAACTATGAGATTAAAGATGTCAAACCAGGATGCTTTGCTGCCTCATCCATGCAGCAGCTGTGCACAGGACACAGCATATATGGCTCTAAGGGATCTACCGAGTGGCAGAGTTTCTGCAGCAAAGGATTCTGACGTGGAAACTGAAACCCTCAGTGTCACTGTGGGAATAAACTCCCGTGTGAGTTTACCTGTGACCCCAGGAGTCTACCGATTGAGAGCCATGTCTGAATCTTGTCAAAAGAACAAACTTGAGTGTGTGGCTCGGAGGTGCAGCCAGCCAGTTTTTGAGATAGACCAGATCCAGTATGCTAAGGAATCCTATGTTTAAAAAGCCTATCCCTCCTCTTCACACTGTACAAAGTAAATATTGTAAAAATAGATATCTTGCTCATCCTTTTTAAGATTTTACTTTCAAGAGATCAAGAATAAGCTAGCTCTGCATGAATGAGATGGTGGTGGGGAAGACCTGTGCATTATTATGTAAAAATGTAAGTGAATATGCTGTACATAACATGCTGTGTGGGAAAACTAGTTAGTAGTTGATGAACAGTGTTGTATTTGTATCCCTGAAAGGACAATTAAAAGGTTGGCAGGTCCAAAACCTGTCCCACCTTCCTTTAGTTTTCTGTATGGTCACAGACTCCATGCCATTCATTGTGTGTGTGCCAGGCTGATACAATGCTTTGCTGATTTTCTGCATTAGGAAGTGGGCTGGCAGTTACCCTAACTGGGGAAGAGCTGCTCTGTCATCAAGGCCACATCAGCACTCTTCCATAAACTCCCTGTACCTGCTGCCATTCCCTCTTCCTGCTTGCTGGTGATGAGAATGATCTGACCACTAACCGGCATTAGTGTTGCACACTAAGCCTGGGTTTAGAGCCACTGAAGACCTACAAGGTCGTTATGGGAATGTATCAAGTAAACCTCATGTGGATTGAGGGGCTTTAATCTAAATAAACTGGACAGGCTAAGCAGAAAGAGAGAATATCTTCAGGTTTGCCTTTATGAGGGTAAAAAAACCTAAACCCCAAAACCTCCAGTAAGCAAACATTCTGGATTCCAGCTTTAAATAGTTAAAGCAGCAGTTCATTTAAAAAAAAAAAAAAAAAAAAAGGAAAAGGAAAAAAGACAAAAAAGAAAATACCAGGCGGTATCCTTATAACCTTGTAAAAATGACTGGAAGTGCAATGTGTTTTTACATGTAGGAACTTGTTTTGGTTAGCACTTACCTCCCCTTTTATGGCTCAGCATAGCCTTGAACCAGGAGCAGGGGGACTTTTGGTTTTCTCCTATGTAACTTCACTACAATAAAACATTTTTCTGCATGAATGCTAAACTGTCTATTGTCTGTCTTTAAAGCATCCAGGCCCTACATGTACCTACTTTTATAATACTCTACAGATACTGCAGGTCTGCTTGAATGACATGGCGTATCTAAGTAGCAGGAAAGCAAGTGACTGACCAGCAGTATCAATCACTACTATTGTTGTAAGAGGCTGCAGACTAGATTTTGGGGAATAAATTCCTCTCTGTCAGGAAAACAAGTTACACTGCCATGTAACAGCAGTTATCAGTGAGACGGAGAGGGAGCTGCAAAGAGATGCTACCGCTCCAAAAGTGGAGCAGATTAGAAAATACCATACCAGCATCTCAGGTAAGATGTTTTCCAGATGTAGGTGTTCACAGGACACAGAGAAAGGGGAAGGAGAGTATCTGGCCTGACAGGAGAAGTGATGTGAGAAGGACCATACTGGTAGATCTAGAGAAAATACCACCTCACTCAGCTCCCTAAGCAGTGGCACTCTGTTTCCAAGCAAGTTGAACGAGAATACTCTGCTGCAAGCTGCAAAGGACATTTGCCATTTTCTGGAATCTGCAGCTCCTGAGTCACAGAATCACAGAACAGGTGAGACTTGAGATCCTCCTGTCCAACCTCCCTGTTCAAGCAGGGTCAGCTAAAGCATGTTGCCCAGGACTATGTCCAGACAGCTTTTGAATGTTTTCCCAGATGGAGATTCTGCAACATCTCTGGGCAACCTGTTCCTGTGTTTGACCACCCTCACAGTGAAAAAGTGTCTCCTTGCATTCAGGTGGAATTCCATGTGTTTTAATTTGTGCCTGTTACCTCTTGTTCTGTGTCAAGAGGGAATGACAGCTTTATTTTGTAAAAAAACACAAGCATCTTGCCCTCATGGCAGAATGAGTGTGAAGGGAGAATCCACGTGCAGTGGAAAGGCTCAGAAGTCATAGGACTTAAAACACAAACTTGAAAATGTACTCAAACAACAACACGGCTACTTTTTTGGCAAGTGACTTATTCTTTTTGACTGTGACAAGACTAAGGATCCCAAGAAGAGGAACTGCTCGTTTCCTGTCCTGTAACCACACCAGAAAACCCAGGGAGAATAAAGCACAGACACTTCAGCAGAGATGAGGAAAGTCAGTCTTTAGGTCCAAGTTGTCCTAAGGCTGACATGGCAATCAAACTCAGAAAGCTTACCTGGGTTCTAAATATTCAATATAGATGATCCTAAATCTTCCAGCTCCTGGTTAAGAAAGTCCATTTGTAACTTCTTGTAAGGCATTTCAATAGACAGAAAGAAAGGAAGAGAGAGGAAATCTACGCATTGTTAACAAACAAGGGGTAAGGTGAAGGACTTGTATAAAAGAGTGGCCCAGTCCCCCTCACCTTCCTCTTGCATTTCTTCAAGTCCAGAAAACACCATGATTAAACAAAAACTGAATGTAAACAGACCCCAAAAGAGATTTACTCCCTCATTGACAGATAACATTGGTCTTCCTCCATCTCTTAAGATATGCCTGTTTAGTCAGCATTATTTTCATGTCATGTTCCTCCACAGATGTGATTTCTCTTCTATATAAGCACTTAGGACACCTCAAAAGACTAGAATGACGCAGAAAGCAGACAGCTTTGTTTTAGCACTTACTCCTCTGCTTTCAGCTCAGAAAACAGTTTTATCATGCTACCAGCCCACACTATGACATTCAAAGATCCAGCCCAACTACCCTGGCCTCTAAGACTAAGGCCCTTTAACTGCTATATCCAACAAGTCAATTATCTGAGAGCCTTTGTCAAAGCTGCCTTTGACTCCTTAGCCAGAAGGATCAAATACTCATTTACAGCTGGTTCAGCTAGAGATACATTTTGGCACAAGAGTTGAATGATGACAGTAGGCCTCCCCATACTGATGAGGTTACTCCATCATCAGTATTGCATCACTTGCTTCACACATTCAATTTTCTAATTAAATTTCATGAAGACACTCTAAATACACAAGGCACGTGGGACCGGAAGAGGGAAAAAAGCAACACTAAAGCAGAAAATCCAAGCCATTGCTTAGTAAGGCAATACTGGAATTAAGGCTGTTGGTGCAGTCTGAATTCAGTTCCTTGTGTTTGCATCTGCTATTGTTTTCAATCACATGATGACTCTGTTCTTCCCCACAGGATGCACCTGCTCTGGGGAGGAACCAAGGTTGTGCAGCAAAGGAGAAAATTTTAATTCTGGCATTCCCTGGAACGGCTTGTCTAGCAGGGCAGCGGGCTTTGGACATATGTCTATGTCTGATTTTCTAGGATGCGAAAGAGCCAACAGAAGAACAAAGGAGTTCCTCATGGAGCAACATGCTCCTCTCCTTCCTTCCCCATGTTGTGTGCCAGGGAGTTGCAAACTCTTGTTCTCTGCACTTGAATTAGGACAGAAACTTACAGCAAAAGCACATTGTCATCAACTCTATGGCCAAACATTAGTGAAGGCTGAGAGAAACACCATGCCTGCAAGTTTCACAAACAATCAGACTGGCATTCAGGTGCAGACTGCAGACATAGACACTTACATTTAGTTGTTTGTATGCAAGCATTTATGTGAGTTTGTGTCTCATCTTCTGCAGTCTGCATCAGAGTAGCTCTCTAAACTCCTGGGAGAGAGATAAGCACAGGTGGAATACAGTTGCCTGAAAGTAGGTGTCTACAGTCATTTGGGTATCTTAGGGCGCCTTGAGGAATTTTCTAAGGCACCAAAAGTGGATGCAGTCTAGGTATTTAGGCAGTTGAATCCTTCCCTAAATTCTTAGACTCCCACCTCACACGTAGATGTGACCTTTAGATACCTTGAATGTAGGTGTCTATGATCTAGGCCTGATACTTACTTTTACTGACAGCAGAGAAACAGCAAAGCCTGGGATCTTGGGCTCCACCTAAGCCTTTACAGGAAATGTTCTTGAGCATGTACAGGCCCTCCTGCTTGCCCCCCTCCAGAGCTTGGGGCCTTCTGCTCCATTCCACCACAAACAACCCTGACTTAGACCTTTCCTTTTCTCCACTCATGACGCCTCATCTCTGCCTCATTTTCATTGCCTCCCCATTCCTAGCCTGCATTCCTCACCTCATCCAGTTATCCATCATTTGATTGAACAAAACTCAATCTGTCCCTGTGGACTTGATGTCACAGTCCCAATTTCCTTTCTGTCCTCTCCATCCCTAGACCCACTTCTCTCAGTCACACAGTTTGTTTTCCTCTTACAATTCTTCCATCTTCCCCCCATATCTGCACTGGTGGTTATTGCAATAAGCCCCACCAACACTCGTCTAGTCTCAGTCCCATGTGTACACCTCCCCCTTGTTTTAGTCTCTGCATATGCAGAGATTCAAAATAAGAAAAGGAAACATCTCTGCAAGCTACATGAGAAAATATACAATTTATAAAGACCAGTGATGACCTCAATTCACAGCTGTAACTATGGAAAGCCTCCAGGATGAAACTTCCATGGATGAAGGTCCCTGACATTATAGGATTTCAGCACGGGGTCTGAACATCTCTTGTTGTGGGGAAGTATGGGCTACTTTGGAAGGAGATTTGGAGCTAGGTTAAGGTAAAATAACAAGTCAAAATCAGCCATTTTCCCCCACGTCTCATCGAAGCAATTCACAAGCTATGACCTTAGGGATATTTTTGGTAATTTGCTCATGTTCTCTGAGAAAAAGCACTCTCAGTACATTGATTTTTTTCTGCCTTTACAAGCAAGGTCTTGGGGAAGAAGCTTTCTCACCTGTCCGACCTCCTCTCAAATCTGTTATCTGAAGGGCACTTTTTTTTCTGGGAACTGTGAAAACTAAAGACATCACAAATCCTTCACACCTGAAGAAGAACAACTGCTGGCCACTTAACAATGATGCACAAGAGAATTGTTACTGCCATGGTCACTTTCTATAATATCTGCTGCAACATAGCCCAAGAAAGCTCTCCACTGGTCACGGTCACAGAACATAAGATCTTTCTTCTGTATTTTCCTCCCACAATTGCTACCT